AAAGATATCATCACAAACTGAACAAATCTGAGAGAGGTCCACATGTAGTACCTATATATGTAATGTAAAAGTAATCGGACTTGCGGTTTTTTACAAGAAGTCGAAAATATCACTTTTTACCAAAAATGACAACATTATTCACCAAAAATAGAGAATTTGGGATTTTGAAATGAAATGAACAAATCTGAGAAAGAACCATCCAAGGTACTTGCATATCAAATTTGAAAACATTCTGACTTACGGTTTTGAATATAACTCTGGATTAATTCGGTAAGCAATCGTTATCATTGGTTTTAATTGGTTATGTGTTCATTCGCGTATAAAGACTGAACTGAGTCGGCGTTGTTATCGGAACTCCAGAGCGAGGCTGACATAGAGGGCGTGCTTTTTAAGGCGGCGTTATTGTTCACACGTGCCATTTTAGGACGTCTTAAACTAAATCGGCGTGGCGCCGGCTTATCTTGTTCATACACGTTTCAACGCCGGCTTAACTATAAAGCTGGTCTGCAAACTGGCTTGTTGGCACACGTGTGAACACAGCGTAAAGATTTGCTGTATTTTTTTCTTTGATACAAGCAGGATCATCGCAATGTTGTGAAAAAAAAAAATCAATAGAAACATATTATGAACGTGATGCGACGATGTTGCTACTGTCTATACGTTAGTGACATATCCATTCTGAATGGAATCGCAGTGGTTCATGGGTATTTTTTTTAGATTTATGCAATCATATTGCGAACTTAAGGTATACAGATATTTTGAATACCGTCTTATCAACACCATCTACCAGACTTTATGCATTCATTGGCATAATCATTGCATACCGAGTGTATTTCGCTACCGTGCGTAAATACAAAGGAACTTAAATTCACACTGCACGTCGAGGGCATACCGCTCATTGTTTGTAAAGATTATCCTCGGGCGCGGAGCTACGTCACAAGACGTTCCACGTCGCTAAAACTCGGTCACACCACTGTACCATGCATTTCTATGGGCTCCGTGCGCGCTGCTGTGGAACGCCGGTCGAGCCGGTGAAAATTCGAGAAAACAACACAAACTTAACTTAGAAGTAATCCTGATCAACCAAAATGTTACACGTGCATGGCTAATCTTGTTACACTGTTCAGGGGAGTCTCAACAACCATCCCAAAGTACTGTTTTCTGCGAGTGTTTGGCCTTTGTTTTCACCGCGATGGTTGTCATTGCGCCCCCTAGAGATGTCGTGACGTAAACGGGTCAACGAATGATGGCCGTTCACAAATATTAAAAAAAAACGAACAAGGCCCGGTATCGAGGTTTATAGCGTATCCATAGTTTTATCAGGGGGAAAATCTTTTCTCTCGGGGTTCTCCACACTTGCCAGGGGGGAATCTCGTCTCGTCTCTATATCTCGTCCCCTCGAGGTGCGGGATCGGGAAAGTCACTTATATTTTACAGTCAAATAAGACACACACAACGAAATACGTTTCAGCTCTCGTCTTAGTCGGACTGTCGAGCACTCTATAAGACACAGGGCCCTGGGGAAAAATCACCAAGACTATCGCAAGGCTGAACCAAGACTCTCTTAGACTGCGTCAACACTCGCCCCAAGGCTCTCCAGGACTCGACTCTCCAGGACTGGACTCGACTGCGTCTATCGTGCTGTGCTCCCCAAGATCAACTAAAACAACTTTATTCACTTTCAAAACTCTAACCAATTACAAAGCAGTAAAAAGACTCTAGGGCGTAACTTTCAATCATAAAGCCAATCACACTAAGTACTGAATACGTCATATCTTTTGATTAATCGTTCACTACATTAATAATTATGGATACCAACTGTCAGAATTAATAGTCAGAATAGCGACGGTTATCTCGTAATTAGTTCCAAATCACTGAGCCAAGTTCTGTCCAAAACTTCAAATAGGCCTAAACAATGACAGACATAACACAGCAATTCGCTAATAATCAGCTAATTAAGTCGGTCAACAGATACGCGTAAACTAATTCATGACACATCCTTTCACCCAAACTGAGATATGCCTCCCGGCATAACACGTTCACAAATCAAAGATACCGTCCTCTACTCATCGTCATACAGGTTAAATACAATACTAAGAAAAGGTATAAATCAAAAAGAGTAAAACACACTAATTAAGTACAATGATTATAATGTCTAAATACAATGGTTATAAAGTCTCAAACATCAACGGTTATGAATCAAAAAACAAGGGAAAGGCTACCAATCGACTCACTTTTCTCAAAAGGGTCCGCCGAGGGTAACCCTTCGCTGCACTGTCTCTGTTACTAACGTTACAAACTCTATATCAAAAGGTCAAAAAACTAAGGCATGGCGGTGTAACCAAGCGATCGGCCAATCGCGGCCGTCGACAGCACGATCACGTGATTACCAGGGATGCGTCTCTCGGTTAAAGCATTGCAAAGCGGTCACTAATAAACAATGAATAAACAAGCTATTAATCAAACTCTTGTCTTATACGCTTATAAACTTCAACTGAACTCATCGTCAAATCTAAAAAAAGTCATACAGGCGTGGAAACGGAATGCAAAGATAAAGCCGCTATATAAACACATTACTCCTCTGGCAATAAGACGGAAAAAGGCTAAAACGATAAAATCTACTGAGTTACATATAATCCTGTCAATCATGAACAAAAGCTTGCGTTATCAAACAATACGTATATGGGCGCACCATACTCTTATCCCAAAAAGACATTAAAAAACGTTACAAAGGTGCTCTAAACTCAAAAAGCGTCAGAAGTATTCCGGAACAACACGTAAACAAAAACAACTCTTAAAACGTCGATATCTCTGTACATCGACAAATCTCAAAACTCTGAAAAACTCTTTGGGGCATTACTTTCCCCATCATATCCCTACTCATAAACTCATTAAAACACCATAAAACTTCACAAAACTCATAACGCTGTGTTGCTAATACTTATCCTCTGAGGCGCGCTTAAATCGTTATAAAGGACCTCGAACGTCACTAAATATCAGTTCGAAACAAAAATCTGGGCGCCCACATACATACAATTCGACACCACAAAAAAAGGGTAAAAAAACGATAGGAAAAGCAAGCAATACATTACCGAACAATAGGGTTAGGATTGTGGAAAAGAGTTCAACGTCCTTGAGTTACACAGTGTCAATTACAGTGTCCAACGAGCGGTTGTCTAAGCAAATAGCTAAAGTCAAAGTCTATAAGCGTCTCTTCTCTTGTCGGGTTAGTCCGGGTCGTTCTTTCTCTTCTTCCTGTCTTTAATGTCGCTCTATTCTTAATTATACTGTCCTATACGATACTCATCCTTCCGTAGGGGCTTTGAAGTCTTCATGTCTTCAGTGTTGTACATCGGTGTCATTCGGGTAAAGTCGTTAGTCGTCAAGCGCGGTTTCTGAGTCGTCGAGCTGTTAGTTCGGTTCACAAGAAAGACATATCTTCGCCATTTCACTTTTCTTCACAGGATGACAATGTGTGTTAAACACCTGCCCGGTTCTCCACCACGTGTGATAGGTATCTTTGATGTTTGAAAACCTTTCACTTAGGTAACCAGGATTCGATTGTTCTCCACGCTGGACTCACAAAAAAACACGCACAAGCTCCATTCATGTTCTATCGATTCTCCACCAGTCTCCAGCTTCCGCCCGAGACAGCTTCAAATCACCCTTTATTACTTGTCATTCCTTAACCAATTACAATCAGTATAAGAGACTCAAACAAACAACCAATCACATGAAAGTTTTACACATCATAATCAATTGATTAATCGTCAAGCTATTAAGAAAATCACTATCATATTGTCAACGCCAACTAATATTTATGGGTTTAATAGTCTTGCAATAACATTCCACAAAGATACCACATGAGTTTAGAATCGCAACAACATTGGTTTAGGATTACCATTCCCATACTTTGTAATCTTTAAAAAGTTGCAAACTCATGAGATATCTTGGCTGATTTCGACTAGTTCGCCATCTGGCTTCATCATTAACCTTTATCAATAGATGTCATGGCAACCACTATTAAGCTGACTGGCCTCGTCATTTAACCCTATCAGTAGATGCCATGGCAACCACCATTAGGCTGAAATATAAATCATGACAGTTTGAACATCTTCCGAATCGCACGGTTTCAATGCCGTGCTTATGAACCCGTGCGTGATCGTGTTAGGGAAATCTGTATTTGTCCTCAGTTTCATTGAATGATTTGATTGGACGCTCCGGGGTACTGGATCCACCAATTAGCGTCCTTGTAACGACAACTCGCATTAATTTCAAAATTGATCCAATATATGTTGCCGTCATATATCACATACATAACTTAAACCACGGGGAGGGGCATGCTTAAAAATTACGTAAGCACGCGACTTCACGTTCGATTACGCTCGACTTCGCCTTCCATTTACCATGGTACCGCACCAGAGCGCGCGCCGCTGTCTTTGACTTTGTCGAGAATGAACACAGGTTTACAGAGGGAATTCTGCCAATGTATAACGATGAGGCGACAGCTAAATAAGGTTGGTGAAGATATAGATTGAAATGCACATAAACAACAAATGTTTGATAAGGCGTGGATATATATATTCTCACGCGCTGACGTCGTTAAAGTGTAACATCTTCCTTAAATAAACCTGGCTACGACTTACGTAAATCCAGTGTTCATTGTGAGTTTAATGTGTACTGTATACGAGTTTTGTAGCAACCCCGGTTACGTAGGTCGCCGTAAATCCGATGAACTTATTAAACCCGTAAATCTTCGCGTTTTGTTTTCTAATAGAAATAATTATTCGAAATAAATGCTAATTTAATTTTGTTTACAAAACAATAACTGAATACAGTTGTCTATCTTCAGTTCGTCTATTTGTAAAAATGTGTTGTATTTGAACGTGTGACTTCTATGGCGCCCACGGTCGTCGTCGTTCTGCTAGTAGCTATGATAATCGCATGATAAATCTGGATATATTGACCGCTCACTCAGGCTAAACGGCACGGCAGGGTTCTTATTCTTGTATCAGATGGACGGGCGTGACTTGGTTTTTCATATGGCTGTGGTGTTTTATGCACGCGACCGTAGTAACTATTAGAATGGCAAAAATGAGGACACCACTTGCAGTACCCACTCCGATAATCATCCACGATTGTTGACTGTCTTCTGAAAGTGAGTGTAATATGGCACAAATTTACAAGTATTTCATATTTTCAAAATATGGGCGTGGTCATTTTTTTAACTCGATGTTTCGTAACCCGATGTTCGTAACTTGAGCTCTCCTGTGACAGAATCTGGTAGCCAACCAGAAGACCTTTTACAAAATACAAACTATACTTTTACGTGATTTCATTTCAGAACAGGGTTCTTAGATCTGTATTGCTTTATCACCAGACTAACATTGACTATACTCACCTGTCACGTTTTCTTTCGTCGTTGATATCGATGTTGACATTGTCGATACCGTTGTCTCACTATTTGCCGTTGTTGGTAAAAGGTACAGGTCTGGTAAAACTGAACAGATATTATAAAATGGTGTAATGTGAAAAATTGTTGTAGTGCATGTGCGAGTTTTTATGCAAATTACCAAAGTTGACCGAGATTTTTTCAGGATTTTTTTCTTCTGAAACTGAAGAGCATCCATGATAATGTTGCAAATTTTATTTGGCGGTGCCGAATACATGACAGTGTCATGGTTACTGACCTCCTCGTATGCCGCAGTCCGAGCAGTCTGTACCAAGATAACAGTTAAAACTGCTACTGAAGAAGCTGTCATCATCGCATTCGCCGTTGTTAGCACTATCACACGTGTCAGTGCAGAGTGTCGCTGAAAATAACATAAATAGTATCATAATTACTTAGTGTACGAATTGAATACATTTTACTTCACATCTAGATCACTAAATCTTCATGTGTGTGAACTTTGGGAAGTGGATTTGACTGGCAATGGGTAAAATTGATCATTTGTAGGGTAGTATTGGATGAGTAACAGCGTAACAAAACTAGCTAATGTGTAGAAAAACTCGATAGAAACAAAGTGTTTGTTCAAATGCATGCCGAGATGGTGAATATTGATTTAGAAAACTTAATAACGAACTCCTGAAATTACGAACTAACATGTGATAATGTTGAAAAATGTTATTACTAGTGTATCTATCACATTTAAAGCAAATCAATCCACGGTAACCTGGAATCTAGTTCCAAAAAATCTTAATCTTAACACATTTTATTGAATATATCTCAATGCGCATTCGTTATATAATGTAGAATGTTTGTGTAAATACAATCAGGTAAGGCAGTTCAGATATATGCCCCGGAACAACATTATGCAAATTAAACAATATGGCCACTTATTTAAATCAGCCATTTTGAATCTGATTTTGAAAACGTGCTATGTTTACTAAATGAAGTTTTTAAATAATCAACTACCTTATCAGGTGCATGTTTTAATTTTTCATTATTGTAATAAACTTGTTTGTCTTCGAAAGGAATTGAAAGTCCAGAATTTGCTTCGTCAAATGGCTATACATTTTTTAGCGTTCATTGATGTGATTGTCACAAGTTGAAATTAAATGAATTTCATCTTCTACAACACTACTATTTTTGCATGGTGTATCCTCCTTAGATATTTGTAATATATGTATTAAGTTTGAACGAATTAGGTGTCGGTCCCGCGCAACAAATATCCGGCTCTGAAAGGGCAGAAATGCTTGCATTTTGAAGTAGTGGTATATGAAATGGTTGCCATTCGGACATTTTGAATTGGATCGAGAAACAAATGCATATGCATACGAATGACATGACGCACATATGGATTCGTCATAGTTGTGAATATATAAATCCCCATTTAGAATTTATTATCACAATCGATAAAAAGCAAATGCAAAAATACTTATTAAATTCAACTTAACTTAACACGTTGATATACCCTTGATCTAGTGTTTAGTGGAAAAAGGCACTTTTGACAGGGGTCAAATATACAGATCTTTTTGACGATTAGAGATGGTCTAGTATAATTGGAACACGCCTTTTTTATTTGTTTCCTATATAATATCAATTTTTGTTCGCCCTTTTTGTTAACACACTAAATATATTTCAACTAAATATATTGTAGACTGCTAAAAAAATTACATTTCTTTTCATTTCAATCGTTCGAAAACTGTTGACTTACGTTGAAACTCGTGATACCTTGTACCGCAGTCTGCACAGTCTGTGCCGTAAAAGCAATCTGTATAGTTGGCACCTGGTCCACCATCGTCACATTCATCATTGTTTGAATATACGCAAGTCTCGAAACACGTTGCTACAGAAAAGACGACAATATTAAGAATAAAATCATGATTGAGATAAATGTTTTTTTTTATTCGAAACACCAAAGCTGATATCCAAATGAAATTTGCCAAATTACAAATTATTCTATATCAATTTAATGAAACCATCGTCAGATTCGATATTTAATTTAATGTTTTACCCTGAGAGGTTTACCATTTCTTGTTATTTTCGAATCTATGTCCTACTAAGCCAAACATACTATTTTAGGGGGCCAATGTGGCAGATCACGTGACATATACTCATGTTTAATGGCTACAAATGAATATTAGTTCGCAAACAGATTAGTCTGACTCCTAGTTATTTTCTGTCATTATGTACACTACATTGATATTTTTTGTACAGTATTACATAAGATAAAAACTAAAATAAATGACAATACGTGCTCATTAAGGTTATGTGAAAGTGAATAATAAGAGGGGTAATTATTCATCTGAGTACCGTTCGCCTGCAGGAAATAATTGGATACATGATTTGATGTTGGGCACATTTGAAGAAGTGTTCCCTACACTCAATAGATGGAAAGTTTCAGTTTGAGATGATGTGAGATACAGAATATAGTACACATATAAAGTTGAAGAAAACACAGGGAAAAGTTAGGATATATCTTTAGCTCCTAATTTCCCCGGATAGTGAAATCCAATAATTTAAGATTAAATCTACTTGAACAGGACATGTACTTGATGTCGTTAGTATAATGTCTTACATCATATGTACCCATGCGATCATTCCATACTTAAAGGACTGACACAGAACGGTTGTCAAATGCGTATTTGTGAATAACTTATTCTCGAAATCAGACTTCGCGCAGAGTGTATTATAATTTCATGTAAACAAACAATGTATTTTCAGAAGCAGCCAACGAACGATTTTACAAATTTTCATTCAAATTATTAGGAAAAGCCCATGTAGTTGTTCCTATCGATTTTAAATGTCATTCACGAAAATTAGGGTACCCCAAAGCTGTTCGGGTTGTGCCCTCCCTCTACTCCTTTCAGAAAGTGCCCTCCCATTGTGGAATTGAAACTCTGCCCGCCCTTTTCATTTTCTGCCTCCCCTTTCCCCACTGCATAAAATTATGTGTTCCCCTCCCACTAACGAACATTTTTGGTCGAACAGCTTCTGTAATTAAAATGTATCCAAAGTAGTATCACCATACACATTACACATCAAAATCAAACATTTCAT